TTGGTTGTTAAGTTCAATCTTTGGAGATTTAATAAATGAATTATCATAAATAAAATTTGTCCAAAAATTGTTTCATTGATTAGTGCTATGTTTGAGCTATGTTATCATGTAATTGTTTGATATGTTTGATACCTGTTTGTTCACTAATAAAATCTCAAAGTTTGCTAACCAAAACTGTTTTTGAAAACCCTAACTGAATTCAGTTTCTCAGTTTCAAGGTACCCATCTTCGAAATTCAAAATCTCTTAAATTAGCAAGTTTTGGACGATGAGCCTTTAAGCAATGTTGGAGATCTCACGTAGATGAACAACTTTGATTAAGGATGCTCATCAAGTCATTTTGCAAAATCAGGAGATTGAGTGATCTGAAGTTGTCCTGTCAGGCATGAATAGTAGGGTGGCAAGCTGCTGCCATGCAAGTGCCTGCTCGCCGCTGTCCGACGTCCTCTAGTGCTGCGTTCGTGCATGACTCCACGTAGCTGCTTTCATGGTCATGCTGAAGCAATTGCTGGCGCAACTATAAGCGCCTGCGTCGTTAAAACACCCCGCCGCTGGTGTCCTCCTCTTCTTCCTCTGTTTGTGCCCCTACCAAGAAGCTCTAGCTCACCGGTGAAATTTGTTGCCGCCATGGCGTCCCAGCCCAATTATCTGCGCCCATAGCATCGCCTCGCTCCTACGCATCGCCTGAGCCCGCTTGCCTAGCCTCTCGCCACCACAATCGCCCGAGCGCGCCATTTTTGTCGCGGTCGAGCCACCATAGCCGCCGTGGCCAGCGCACTTCGGAGCTCCTCTCGCCATCCCATTTTTCATTTTAGCTTCGCCTTGATTCCATGAAGCTCATCGACTTCTCGCTTTTATCTCTACCGTGTAGGTCACGCCGCCGCTGTCGTCGTCAGCCTGCGTGTCCGCGCCACCTCCGCTTCAACCGTCGCACTTAGCACGTCGAGGTGACCACCCTGAGGCTACCCAGCGTCCTAGTTAGGCCAGCTGACCACCGGAGCCGCTAACCTGCTGTCGCACCTCCATGCCTTGCGCCGCCGTGCCACCACTGTCGCGGTCAAGCTCGCTGCGACCCCTAATTCATTCAACTGTTACCATATACGTGTGCGCTAGGTTCAGAGGAAGCTGTTGGCGCCGTTTTCGTCGCCGGAGATCTTGCCGTCAGCAAGTTCTACCACGCCGAAGCACCACTGGACTGCCGTGGCCGCTGCTGTGCTCGCTGTGGTGCCCTAGTTGCTCGCTTAGGGCGTGGAAGAGATGCGGGGAGGATAGAGGAGCACGCCAGGGTAGCCCACGTCGCCGGCGACGAGTACCTGCCGGTCAGCGCGGGCGGTTTGCTGGAGTTGACCAGGTCCCATGTGTTAGTGGCTGGGGGTAGGGAGGAGCTGGGTGAAAAATGTTTTAGTCAGTTTTGTCTTTTTCTAGAAAATGCTAAATTGTGCAATTTCTTATTTATTTCATAAGAAAATATAGAAGCATGATAAAGTTATGAAAATTTTTGTGTAGCTTTGTTATCATGTGATCTACCTAGGAAAAATATGCAATTGGCATTTTTAGTAGTTTTGTTATGCTTAAAAATTACCTCTTTTAATTAATAAATAGACCTTGCATGATTTTTATAGGCTAAAATAATAATCCTTTAATCATGAAACTTTTTGTGTAAATGTTATGTGCTTATACCTGCCTTCACAAAAAGTTTGGTAGTGCTTTAATAATTCTAACTTTGTTAATTAATTTAAGTGTGTTTAAATACCTTTTCTTAATTAAATAAATACCTAAATGAGTTAGATAAATACTTAAATGGCTTTGGTGTGTTTGGAACTTTGTTTGTGGACCCTGGGACATCCAAACACCTAATGTTCCTTGGCAACTTAATTACTTGCTTGTTATGTTTTGAATCAACTTGTTTATATAGTAATTAAAATGGTTTTATTAAATATTAAGTTTAGTTTTATGAGTTCTTTATAATAATCATGAGTTATGATATATGTTAAACACTTGCTGGTCCATGTTGGTGTAATTACTTCCATGATAGGCAACTAACTAACTAAAATGCTTTTATGATAATAACCCTAGTTCCTTGGTGAAGGAAAGTTGTACTCAACTTTCTTAAGTTTATTAGAGTTTTGTTATGCACTTGTGTGTCTTTCATCATGCATCATGGCATGTAGTCCATCATGTTAAGCGAAGCATCATTTATTACGTGTAGTGTACGAGAATGAGAAGGCTCGTGTTGATCAAGTTCTGAAAAAGGACCATCCACCTTGGTGTTGGTGCCAAGTTTATCCCCTGGATCCTTCTGTGGAATCTAACATTCTCTGCAACGCAAGCAAGCCCCGGAGCATAAACCTTTCTTTAGTATTTACAAATATTTATTATACTTTAAGTCTTGTGAGATGTGCATTAAGTAATTAGAAATTAGTCGAATACCGTTGCTGCATGATTACCTAGATATTCAGGTATCATTGGTCGTACCCTGCTAGTATGTGTAGGTCGATATTGCTAATGCTTAGTAATGCTTAGATTTCGATAGAAGTCGAATGATGGTTTCATCATTCGTGAAAATAGGTTTCACCTTTGTTCTCATCGGCTCTGTTATGGGTCATGAGAATACCATGATAATGCTTATATTTAAATTGAGATCGGGCGGGTGGCTTGCATCGAGAATGGACTCTCAATGTAGTGTTCCGGCTGTGTCGATTGAGGACCGTTCGTTGTAGGCCACCATGTGGTCGAGACTTTGTAGTACTAGCCACATACTCTGGTAAGCCTGATACCTCGGCTATTCTATTATGAGAAAGGCCAACCGCGCACTGGGAGTGGAGAGATGGCGAGGGTAGCTATAACCACCCTACAGAAACATCAGGGATGACGTATAGCGGTGGAGTCGCTATTTCTCGGGTGGCGTAGGACCCGTTCTTGATTTGGAGGATCCAGGTGAAGGTTGATATATGTAGGTCCGGGACATGCATATGTCGTGTGGTAAGGAAACCCCAGCTAGGCCTAATCGATTCGAATCGTCGTGCTCCTCGGTTACGGAGACTCGACCCTTTGACCATACATCATAGTTAATCAATGGAAACATGGTTACTTATGGTTATGAATATGAGAAGAGATGAGATGCTTAATGAAGTGATTGATTTAGAACAGGTGCAAATTGGATACTGATAATGACTTAATACACAGCTAAAACATTGAAAGTAAGGATCCACTTGCAGTAAGTTTTTCTGCAAAAGTTGTTCTTGATTCAGACTTTCCCTTAAGCCTTCATACCCTTGGAGTCTTTTCTTTTAGTCGGGTAAGACTTGTTGAGTACACTCAAGTACTCAGGGTTTGTGAACCCCTATTGTAGGTTCTGACTTGTGCTACTAATCGAGGTCATGTCAGTGGACTCGACATGATCTGGCTGTCTCTTCTACCTTAGGTGCTTTACCTAAGTTGCTTCTGTAATCCTACTCAACCATTGGAACTTAAAGTTAAGTTGTTACCTGAACATGTCTTGTAAACTAATGTTATAGTCTTCTGCACTCCGATGTAAGATATTTTTATAACAAATTTTGTAATGTTGTGGTAACTCCATGTTGATCATGTATGAGTTAAAAAAATATGGATGGTTCAGGATTCTCGATAACACCCGACAGACTACCGGAGTTATTTGACTCTCGTGTGCAGTAGTCAGAGGTCTTTGGGACAATGACATGTGCACGTGGGCCATATAATTTGGTGGTTCTGCCACAACTTAGAGCAAGGAGGAGCAAGGAGGAGAAGGGATTGGAGATCTCACCGGCAGCAAGCCATGGATGTCACTTAAGTGCTGCAATACACAAGGATTGGGGATAGAAGAGGAAGGAGCCCTCTCTCCCTAACCATTTGGAGCTAGGAGGAGAAACCAAGGAGGAAGGAGGGAAGAAGGGGAACACCAGCTTCTTCACCTTGTTGAGGAGCTTCACTACGTTCCCCTGAACCCTTTGGTAAGCTTGGATTCAAGTTGTAGGCATATTATCATCACAATCGAATCACATGTTCATCACCTAGAAAATGTCCCCCAATGACCTAGATGATGGATAAATGCAATGTAGCTTCATTTGACTAGCTAGATCATAGAGTGATACTTATTTTATATACTTATATAATAGTATTATAATAATAAGTTAAAAAATATGGGTTCTTTTGAAAAAAATTTACCTAGTAAGATTTAAAGTATAAGTATATAAATATACTCAAACTGATAACTGAGTATGCACATATACGTAATATGGTTTATGGAAGATGAGAGTAAGTGGAGTAGCCGAGTAGGAATATTTATAAATTGATGGAGAGATAAAGAGATTGCATTAGAATTTACGAGGTCCAAAAATAGGACAGCTTTTGTAGAACCAATTGACAGTTACACCTCTGACCTTTCATGCCATGTACTGACAAACGATTTTAAATAGCAAGTGTCAGTACAGAAAGAAAGAGCCAAACATCATTCTTTGCTTCTCCATTTTGTAGCTCAAATTTATTATAACAGAATACATTAATCAATAACAGTATCTGGTATGTGTTTCATCAATTATCAAGGTCGTTTTTCAATATTTGCAAGAGGCCAGCTTCTTGCACTTTCTGAAAATCTTTGAGCAAAAAAGACAGAACACTAATAAATTTGACTGCCAATAGAACGTTACCTTTTTAGATAAAGGAAAATTCCGGCTTTAGTTCTCTTCAAAAACAGGTATTAGGCCAAAGTTAAACAAATACACTCACTTTAAACATTTACAACAGCTCCACGTTATTGTTGTAAATAAACAAAAAAAAAGGTCATCCATTGGATGTGAAGCACCATTCGAAGTCTTTTTGGGCGCAAACTGCACTGTTATTATTCAAGCAAATAATGAATGGAATTAAACATCAGTTTCCACCTCAAGAAAAAGATGTCATCATGCTGTTGCCCCAAAACAAAAAAAAAATACAAAATGTGTTCATGACATCAAGAACTCTTTGCAATGTCTAAAACAAGTTTCATGATGGGTAAGGTGAACCAATCAATGAACATATGTGGCGGATTATATTAGCTGAAGCATTTGGTCGGGCTGCAGTTAGTGCCTTCTGAGACATGTCTGCCATTAGTTTTTCATCACCTGTAAAATAAAAATAGATCAGTAATATCAATCTGAAGGGGAAAAAAGATCATCAGGAATGGGCGCCTTTATAAGATCAAAAAACATGAACAGATTTTATATACTCTGCAGAAACGAAAAGCAATCTACTAGAGATTTTTTAACAGGCGATCTAGGTTCTTCGAAAAAAACAGGTGATCTACTTAAAATTTATAAGAACCAAAACATGACCAACTATATTCATGGTCCAATCATGGCAATCCAATACAAAGTCCATTACTAGCTACATGCTCTTGCATTTTATTACAAGGCTGCCTTTCAATTGCATTATTAGTTACGAAGTGAATTCAATTAAGATATCTTTTACTGGCCCATGATGTAAGGTTTCCACAATTGAGAAGCTACTGATGACTTAGCCACATGCTCTTGCATTTTATTACATGAGCTGCCTTTCAACTGCATTATTAGTTACAAATTAAATTCAAATAAGACATCTTTTACTGGCGCATGATGCAAGGTTTCCACAAGTGAGAAGCTACTGATGACTCAGCCAAATAGCAGCAATCCAACAAGGCAACAAGCAATGTTTACAGCATGATGAGAAACAATGGTCAATGGCAGACAAACATTATAAGGCACATGTTTCCGCGCCACCCATCCTCTTTATATTCAATTCTGATCTCAGGTATAGGATAAGTGGTAGAATAATCACGTAATTTTTTATAAGCAGTGAATTTGGCATGTTGGCCAGTAGCATGAGAAACTGAATTTAGATACCACACATACCAAAAATTTCATCAACTGCAGACGTGAGACTGCTAGAATCAAGTTCATCTTCGGTGATGACCTTTGCTCCCATGATATCAGCCATGATATATGCATTTCTCGTTTGGTGGTGATCCAGAATTGTTGGCAATGGTATCTGAAAGATATGTAACAATGAACAGCTTTGCATAACTGAACTCAGTAAAAAGATGAATACTTATGTAGAGGGATGAGTATTAAAAAAAAAGCATGTTAACCAACTAGTGATGTGAGGAACTGCTCATAGAGCAGGCGGTTAAGCCCCAAGGGTGCGAGCTGGCTGGCCAGGGCTCGATCCCTGGTTCCTACAATAGCCTCAAAAGAAGGCTGGGTCAAGTGGCCCTTTTCAAAAAACAACCAACTAGTGATGTTTTGTAAGTTGACCTTTCATGTTAACTTGAAATCATCAATCCTACTGCTTGTGGGAGCAGGACAGAGACATAATTGTAGTAGAGTAGCTTTTGGCACAGCAGAACAGCTTTGAGTATCTCATGGGCCATGGGAAGATCTTTTCAGTTGCTCCATATGAGGAGATGAGAGGTTACAATGGTATGGAACTGAATTTTTTGTACATTTACCTTTTCAACATAATAAATTAATATTGTCACTGATGCGGTTTGGTGTATAATTTCTTTCTTTCTATAGGTTATCCTGCAGAGGGTTACCACATCCAGATACCGTCCTCTTTTTGATAAAGAAGCTGAGAACATTCAACATATTCTATCAGGGTTTATCTTTTCTAGACAGGTGCGGTCTCTCCTCTTGTCACTATGGTTTGCTAGTTTTCTCACCATTCCCAGATGACAAGTTCTGTGACTGGTGGAAGGATTAATGCTTTGGTGCCCAGCGACATTAAGCGAGGTTTAAACTCGCTGATATCACTGGTCCCTGTGCGCATGAATGTTGTGGAGGATATGCAACTATTGTGCGTTTAGTGATGCCTGTTAGAATGAGAGAGAGAGGAAGATGGCTGTCTGAATAGATGTATTGAGCAGCCCCAAATGGGGTATATATAGTACATGAGAGCCCAAACCCTAGACTAGAGTACAATGACAATAGTACCCTTACCCCCCCCCCCCCCCACACACACACACACACCCTTCTCAAATGCAAGGCGTATGCAATTGCGTTGCATTTGGACGAGAGAATACTAAGCACTACACTTAGACACATTACAACACTACAATAACTGAAATATCCAAATCTGAGTCTCCAATATGTCGCACTGGCATGCGAGTCTTGAAAACCTTGCGAAGCCGAGGAGGTGCGAAGAGAAGCACAAAGATAGAGTCGTGACGATGGACGTGCCTTTAGTCAAAGAGTCGCGGGCTCACGGCGACAAGGAGGAGCAGCAAGGTTCAAGCGGACGAGTCATCTCCGCACAGATCCGGACAGGGTCAGAACCACACGCCTCAGAACGGGTCTAGGCCACGCAAATCCGCTAAACCAAAACTACGGTAGCAGTCACAGGCTACAAGAGGACCGAAAGGGAGAGTCGCATCGACGACAACTAGAAGCTGATTAGCCAAAAGAGGTGGGCAACCACAAAGGAAAAGATAACAAACTGACTGTTTGGCAAAGATTTTGTGGACTCAAATGGCAAAGACGAGTTCAAGGAGCAAGATTAGCGGAGTTAGATGGACACAGTAGAGAAACAAAGATAGGATACTAGCAGCAGTGCAAGAATAAACCTATCCCCTGTGAGCTCCTCTGCAGAGAACGTTTCTCACACAGCGAAGCAAAGCAGCACACCGTGGGCCTGGCGCAGAGAGCAGAGCAGGGAAGAGGCCGGGCCGGTGGGCGCGAGCAGCTCGGACGGGCAGATGCGGCGGTCAAGGTAGGGTCGCGCGGGAGCAGGTGCAGGGGCCTCGCTCGAGGTGGGGTCGCGCGGGCCGGGCACGACGCGTGGAGTCGCATGGGCGCAGGCGCAGGGGCCCCGCAGACGACGAGGCATGTGGGTCAGCAGGAAACCGCACCTCGTGCGGGAGAAGCAGGCGCCCGCGGGAGCAGCTTGAGGGGCGCGCTCGCGAAGAGGAGCCGCGGGAGGAGCAACTGGCGACGACGTTGTGCGCAGGACGAGTGGACGTGGCCGAGCACGGCGCCCAAGAGCAGAGCTGCGCCGCCGAGCCAGTGAGAAGCCGTGGGCGCGCGAGGAGCCGTGGGCATCCGTGGCGGCGCAGTGGCAAGGAGCGCTAGGAGGAAGCCGGCGCACGGAGGAAACCGGTGCGCAGAGGCAAACACATGGGTGGACAAGCGCTCCTGGGCACACGAGTTGGGCGAGGAGGCGACCCAGTGGCTCGGTGGCTCATCTCCGGCGCCGGTCGGATCAGATCCAGGCCTGGCGGTGCCCGATCTACACCCAGGGATGACGGATCGACGCCAATGACGCCTCGATCTGAGCTCAGGGAGGACCTGCTGCTGTTGCTGCTGCTTAAACGGGTACGAAAACGAATGGGGTGGGTAGGGTTTGTTGCTGAGGTTGCTGCCCCCGGGAGTGGAGTTCACTCCTCCCAGGGGACCGACGGCGTGGGAGACAACTGGTGAAGATGAAACCTTCGGCTGTGATACCATGTTAGAATGAGAGGAGGAAGATGGCTATCTGAATGGATGTATTGAGCAGCCCCAAATGGGGTATATATATTACATGAGATCCCAAACCCTAGACTAGAGTACAATGACAATAATGGACTTGCTCGGCTGTGCTACTTGTAGCTGTTTGTGCTGTGCTGTCTAGCACAGCCCATCGGAGGTAGCTCAAGCTGCCACAGCTGCCTTCATATACTGTGCTGAATTGTTTAGTTGCTCAGTGTGTGCAGCAGCAGCTGCAGCAGACAGTGCTGCGAGTAGCACAGCCGATTTGGCTGAACACCCTTAACAATGCCAACCCTAGCATCCATCTCGTCCTTAGACAATTTTTTTAAGAGGCTCACCTCTGGTGCCTGGCAGGTGCTAGAGGTTTAACCGATCTAGAGGTTGCTGCCAGTTATTTAGCTAGCGTTTGTTCTTTGGGTCAGGTCATGTTTGGTTGTAAAAGGGGGCGAATGAGTTTTGACTATACATTTTTTCCTTCTTAATGCAATGATACACAGATCTTCTGCATATTTGAGAAAAATCTTTATTTTCTAATTGTATTATGGTCATGAGAAATTTATGGTGATGAAGCAACTCATTGTATTTTTCATACCAAGATGAGGTTCGGAAATAGGACCAGATTTTGAACAATTATTAATCGAACCAAACAGTTCCTTGAGCATCTAGATATGATATGCAAAAATCAGTAAGGAACACATTATGATATGTGGTTGCCTCAAAAAAAGAAATCAGAGCTAAATATGACGAGTGAGGACATTCTTTTTGCATTTCACATGATAAGGATAAGCGACACCTATTAGAACTGAACGTAGAATAAGATGTGACAAAATGCCAAAGGAATGACAACCAATCTCAGTTATTACAAAGCAATATGCATAAAGTAGTCCATAATTTTTCCAAGTCATGTGTAACTTCTTGCAACTTTGTTTACATTTACAGCTTAAAACTGATCTGCTCCGTAACATAAGACATCTTTAGAATCCAGAGAGTATCGGAATGACCTTTTTTTTCACTAACAAACTTCACTATGTACGACGGCCTGTGAGGCTATGACCATGAACATGACCGAAGAAAGGTGGCAACAGCCAACAGGGATATCAAGCATCAACTAGTATAAGAATGTTTAACAAGAAAATATTTTTTATGAAATCCAAGAGCAGAGCACACGACCAGGTGTGTGGGCCCTGATGAATCACAGCGAGAACCAGGAAACTCATATTTCTCCTAGAAAGGTAAATAGGTAACATTATGATTAAGCTTTCTCCTAAGGATAATCCTAATTGAAGTCTTCTATTAAACATCGAACACAAGGAAAAGCTTTTAGTTTCAAAATATGCCAGTTACCATAGCTCGAGAATATAGTTTGGAAAATTCAACGGTTCATAAGACAACCTCATTTTCCTGATAAATGGTCAAACTATTAGAGATAGAGATGTAGTCTAACTTGACTTGTACTCCAAGATTGTATATCTCTAATATATATAAGGCACCCCCTCTAAAAGTAGGGATGAAAATAGGACGGATATTTCCCGATATTCGTCCGTCCCGAAAGGGTCAAAACACTAAATGGATAGTCCATATCTGAATCCGTTCAATATCCGATCGTATCTGAATCTGAAAACTCAAAATCGGATTTCTGATATGGATATGAGATAGATATCAATATCTGAATGATCCGTATCCGATTCTGAGATCCAAGAAAAAATATGGGATATAATACGGGACATGGAACATAATGCAGGATCATTGGTATCCGTCTGTATCTGATCCGGTTTCATCCCTTGAGAGGTGATTTCTCAACTCTACATGGTATCAAGAGCCCAGGTCCCCTTCCGACTCGTTCCGCTGCTCTAATTCTTCTCCTGCACCATTGACTCCATGGCCACACAGCCACCCACCACACGATCTCCTCTGCCCACGCGTCCTCGAGCATGCTCCCTTCCCGCGCGTGTTCTTCCACAAGCGCACGCCAGTCACGCGATCTCTTCCGCGCCGCCTCGACGTGCGCTCTCTTCAGCGCATCCCCTGTTTCCGCACCGTTTGGCCCTTCTTTCTGCCCAATCGAGTCAACGCCAGCCCATACCATTTAAGGCCGGCATGTCTACTTCCTCCATCGCCTCCTCCTAGACCTCTGGTGCCTTTGGCACCCCCAACTCTCCCTGCCACCTTAGGCAGGTCTGATCTCAGCCCTCAGCCAGCTGCAGGTTCTGGGCGCTGGTTCCTGGGTTCTCAACAGCGACGCCTCCTCACACATATCATGATATGATGGGTATGCTCCTCACTCGCCTCCCTGTACCCCCTTCCTTCATCACCGTAGGCAACGGTCAAACTTTGCCTATATCTGGCCATGGCACTTCTGTTATCCCACTTGCTAGAACTAGTTTTGTTTTGAACAATATTCTTGTCGTGCCTAACATTGTTCGCAACTTACTTTCTGTTCGCCAATTCACACATGACAATAATTGTTCTATCGAATTTTATGCCTTAGATTTTTCTAAGGACCTGCAGACCACCCGCCTGATTCTTCGTTGCAATAGCGACGGGGATCTCTACACCCTTCCTGTGTGTCAGCTTCGTCGTCGTTCTCCACCACCTGCAACCTTGCCATTTCATCATCCCTATGGCATCCCACCTTGGCCATCCCAGTCCTGCAGTTGTCTCCACTCTTCAAATCATCAGCAATAAACTGTAATAAAGCAACATGTAGTGTGTGCCACGCATGTCAACTTGGCAAGCACACGTGTCTGCCTTTTGCTAGTTCCACTTCCCATGCTTCTGCTTCTTTTGCTTCTTCAATGCGATGTATGGACGTCTCTTGTGTTGAGCGCTTCTGGTTTCAAATATTATTTGGTCATGGTTGATGATTACAGTCACTTTGTTTAGTCCTTCCCATTGCGCCATACATCTAATGTTCATTCTCATATTGTTTACACCAAGACCCAGTATGGCTGCCTGCCCAAGTGTTTTCAAGATGATAAAGGCACCAAATTCGTCAACACAGCAGCTTGTGTGTTCCTGCGTTACCATTCTCACAAAGATCGCTGCATGGATTTGTCTACACGCCGCATCCATATCTCTTGTCACTTGTGTTCGATGAGAATGTCTTTCCGTTTGAGGCTGTTCCAACAGCCCCATCGGCTCTTGATTTCTTGCCGCAGGATTCGACAACGGTAGCTCCACCCTCTTCGAGTGTTGAGCGGCAGTGTTCTCCCATGGTAGCTCCAGCCAGTTTGGGTGTTGAGCATTCGTGGTCTTCTTCGCCGGACTTTGACGACAACGCCATCATCTCGGCTGGGCATGTCCTGCAAGCTTCCCTACCAGTCAGCACGCCTGCAGGCGGGTGCCACACTGGCCAATCCCCCTCCGGCGCCTGTGGTGGCTTGCCTCCATTACTACTGTGCGTCACCTTCAGCGCCAGTAGCACCGGCAACGGGGCCTCCAACGCCACTCATCCCGCTGCCAGCTCTAGATCGGTCTTTCAGCAGTTTAACGATCATCGGCCTCGTCCCACCAATCAGTAACTACCCCCCGCCCTCTTGCCCCAACCTGTGCACGACCCTGTTCCTACAGGCAGGTATCGGGCGGTCGTTGGTCCATTGCTGCCTCATGTCCCTGCACCTCGACCAATGTAGGGCGCCCCGCCAATGTCTCCACTCCTATGGCGGATCTCCTACGCCTTGACCAATGCAGGATGCCATGCCAACGTCTCCACTCCTATGGCGGATTGTGACACGACCTCAGACTGGCTCGCTGAAGCATGTCGCTCGGCTCATTGATCATTAAAACTTGTCGGCTATTCATGCTTCCATCTTCCTAGTGACAAGCAAATATCGCAGCACCCTGGCCGATCCTCATTGGCACAAGGCGATGGTCGACAACGACACGTGGCACCTTGTGCCGCAACCACCTAGAGCTAATGTGGTCACTGGCAAATGGATCTTCAAGCACAAGTTCCACTCAGATGGCACCCTCGGTCGTCACAAAGGCTCGATGGGTGCTTCGTGGTTTCTCCCAGTAGCATGGTGTGGACTACGAGGCCTTCAGCCCGGTGGTAAAGCCAGCCACCACTGTTTTGAGCATGGCCATTTCTCGCGATTGGCCTATTCATCAACTAGACATGAAGAATGCTTTTCTTCATGGTCATATGGAGGACACTATCTATTGTCAGCAGTCGTTCGACTCCGTCGATCCGACTGCCCGTGATCATGTGTCTGTTGGAGCGTTCCTTGTACGGGCTTCAACAGGCTCCATGTGCTTGGTACCAACACTTCGCTACATATCTTCGACTTCTAGGTTTTATTGCCTCCGTCTCTGACATGTCTCTCTTTGTTTACAAAGATGGAGACCGTGTCGCCTACCTGCCGCTCCTTGTGGATGACATTGTTCTGACAGTGTCTTCAATGGCTCTCCTTCAACGGATCATTGAGCGCCTTCATGCTCAGCATCTCCGTCACGTGTTCGCCCAATGGCCTATCTTGTAACGGCACCAGTATTCCGTCGATCTTCTTCAACGGCAAGCATGGCAGAGTATCACTCTACGGCAACACTTGAGGATGCTTGTGCCAAGCTTGTCGCCGCCGATGGCAAGCCCATCGCTGATCCAACGTCTTGCAAGGGCACTTCAATATCTGACGGTCGCTAGTCAAGATTTGGCATACATTGTTTAACAGGTGTGCCTGTTCATGCATGACCCACGTGAACCTCACCTTGCGCTAGTCAAGCGCATCCTCTGGTACGTCAAGGGCACTCATGACACTGGCCTCCACATCAGGGCTGGTCCTCACTATAGTCTTTGATAGCATATTCTGATGCAGACTGAGCAGGTTGTCAAGATTCCAAACCCTCTATGTCAGACTACTACATTTTCCTCGGCGATAATTTGGTCTCCTCGTCCTCAAAACGACAGTCACTGTGTCTCGTTCTAGTGCGGAGGCTGAGTACCATGCTATCACCCACATCGTTGCCGAGTGTTGCTAGCTTCGCCAAATGCTACAGGTGTTTCACATCCCGATTGCTTCCACAACGCAGTGATGTCTATATGACCCTGAAATCCCATTCACCATCATCGCACGATGCACATCGAGATTGTCATCCACTTCGCCCGCAAGGTCGCATTAGGACAAGTTCACATGCTCCATGTCCCGTCCTCTCACCAGTCTGCGGACATTATGACGAAAGAACTACCTGTATAGTAGTTCACTTACTTTAGGTCCACTCTTTGCATCAGAAATTCTCCCACTACGACTGTGGGTGGGTATTAGAGATAGAGTTGTAGTGTAACTTGACTTGTACTCCAAGATTGTATATCTCTAACATATAATTATATTTATGAAAGGCAACCCCTAAAAGTGTGAGGTGATTTCCCCAATTCTACACAAACAAAGTATGTCTTTTCAAAAAAGTAGAATTACATCCTCACAAAAACTCAAATTTCTTTAACAAGACAAAAAAATTAAGTAAAAACATTGGAATTAGAAAACAATATATCAACATGATCTACAATACCAGAATTGATGGTTTCCCAGTGGCCAATATCTCGGTGCACGTCATTGCACCAGCTCGAGAAATTACAACATCAGAGGCAGCATATGCCATTTCCAGTTCATGCAAGAACCTTCACAAGAAGGAAAATCTGAAACTGTCAGAATCAATGAATCAGCCTAGAAGAAAATGGCATTGACATGCCTGAGAATCGTTCATGATAATGGAATGCCAAGCAATACAGATTGAAAGAAATTGCATTAGCAATTGGACCAACTGAATGAACCAAGTAGAATTGTAATGTTTTTCGAATAAACCAAGTAGAATTGTATTCCCTATACGACAAAGGACACCATATCCATTCTCTCTTCGGAATATCATTAATGAATGGCCTTTCTATAAATCCTTTTCTCACTGAATTATTCTCATGATCACACCTAACTCTCAGTGCCTTCTTTTGAGAATATGCAAAGCTTTGAGCGCGTAAGGAAATGTGGCACATAGGTCCCTTGTGTGAAACATATCCATCCGATTTCAAGACCTAGACTTAACACGGGTGCTTGTATTTTCCTAGATTCATTATAGAAGAAATAAGGCAATCCATTCTAGGGTACACAATGTGTCCATCGATTGGGAAAAGCTCGTAGTGACTTTATCAATCTTAAGATCTCTACCGGCTCGGTCTCTCACGTAGGGTGTGCTGCATGCGTTGATAGAGGTGAGGGTGCATGAATATGAGCATCTAGGAAATTACATAACTAACCCTTCAGCTAGCAACTCGTGCTGCTGCTGCTGAGGAAAACAGCAAACGAAGATAACTCACGGGGTAAGAAAAAGCCGGCGATGGCCCCTGACGAGGCTCTCCATCTCGCAGAAAGTCTCCGTCCCCGTCTGCCATATAATGTACCGATCTTTACTCCTCAGAATCTCGTAATAGACGTTGAGCACCGCCACATTGATCTCTGGCGACCCCTCCGCTCCCCCAAGCACGAGCACGACCTGCGCCTCGTGTTCACCCAACAACCCCGCTCTCGGGAAGAAACGCGCCAACGCCTCAGTCTTGGATGCGCTGCACTTGAGGATGGACATGCGGACGGGGTTCCCGTAGACGGCGCACCTGCGTTTGGGGAGGAGTCGCACGGGAGCGTTGAAGGCGAGGAAAACGCGGCGGGCGAAGGGAGCGAGAAGGCGGGTGGCGGGAGCCGGATAGGCGTCCTGGTCCTGTATCACGAAGGGGAGGCGGAGCATGAGCGCAGCGAGGCAGGCCGGTAGCGCGGGAGCGCCTCCTGTAGCAACAAGGACGTGTGGGCGGAATCGGCGGAGGTGCAGCGCCGCGGCGAGGATCCCGCGCGGGAGGCAGCGCAGCGGGACGGGAGCGAACGGGTAGGAGGCCGCGGCGGCAGCTGATGACTCTAAGGACGGGGCGGGCGCGCCGAGGATGAGGGAGCGAGAGGACGGCAGCGAGGCGTGGAGCTCGTCGGCGAGCGCGATGGCGGAGTAGACACGGCCACCGGCGCCCGCGCCACCACACGCGAAGGCGAAGCGTAGGGTATCTTCGGATTCGGATTCATGGTCGGGGTCTCGCTCTGGGTCGGAGGTGGTGAGGGCCGGGGTTGGGGTTGAGGTGGAGTCACTGGAGTGGGAAAGGTGGCAGCGGAGGCGCGCGGGCGCCGCAGTGCGCGTGGGGATGGCGAGGTTTGAGGTTTGGGTGCTGCGGAGGCGGAGGAAGCGGATTGCGCAACGAGGGAGCGGACCTGGCTGGGCGGCGGTGGCCGCCATTTCTCTTGGGCTCTATCGTATGGGCGCCGGCGTAGCTCTGGGAAAAAAAAAAAAATTGGGTGCTCCCCGGCCCCGTCGGTGCAGACCCAGCGCCGATCAGCCCGGTAGCCAGCAGCAGGGTTTTCAACGCAATTGTAAAAATATGCAATATATATTTATTAAATTGAAAGTAGGGTATTCTAAAAACAAAAAACAATACAAATATGTTATATTAAATTGCAGTGATTAAATTCTAGATTTCATCGATCAAAATTTTAACTTGAGAATGGATATGAGACATGACGTAGGATAATAGGAAGACGCTAACGATGTGTTTGTTAAGTTGTGGCCTTTGGAAAAGTTGTGAGATGTGGGCCTTCGAAAAGTTGTTCGGGAAAAAAGAGAAGGCCATTTGATGAAATAGCTGTGGGTTTTCGAAATCAAACCTCAAATATCATTCGCAGTCCACCCCACTCAACTCTCTCCCTCTTTCACTGACTAGCGGACCCCGCTTGTTGTCTTCCTTCTTCGGCTGCGTTCGGCTGGGAAACTTCAGCTGGGTGAGATTCTTTTTTTCTAGCCGGAACAGTGTTTTCCTCTCACAAAATTCCAGCGTGAACAGTAATCCGTACCGGCGTGAACAGTCCTTCATCCCAGCCGAACACATCCTTCCTCTCTCTCAACGACGAGCATGCGCCCTCGTCCTCATAGCTACTAGCGTGCCAGGGCTAGGGCTGGGGCTGGGTGCTGGGGCGGAGCATCGGCCCACACATGGTAGAGAGGAAGCCCGCGTCCACCACTAGGGCAGCGCTGCTCGCCGGGGTCATGGGCTTGTGTCTATGTTGAGCTTCGCGCCTAAGTTGAGCCTACTCTAGTTGCCCATGCGCAGCGGAGCCCATACGCGACGGAGCTTACTCTGCTAGCTCGCGCTCATGCACTCACCAGCTTCCTCTGCTGTTACTCGCATTCGGGGGGTAGAGGGGCTCGCCAGAGGTGTGCAGGCTGGCTGTCGGATGTCTTGCTCATCGGATGTGGGGAGGCCAGCCACCAGAGGAGAGGAGAGGCACCACCGACGATATTGTAGCACATTCGGGATGGATGGGGCCTCACTAGATGGGAATGGGGGCTCACCGGAGTGGGCAGAGGGGTCGCGCCACTGGGGCCGGTGTCACTCGGCCGCCGCCAGAGTCGATGAGGACGGAGGTGGCGCGACTAGAACCGGTGCTGCTCGCTGTCGGGTCTGTGGGTACGGAGATGCGAATAGAACGAAAAAATGATTCATTTTCATAACTAGTGGCAGGTGAGTAATTTCTTTGTCTAAAAATCGGTGCAAGTAGGTGGACTACTTTCAGTTTTGTACTAGGGTAAAAGCAACTTTTGGCCTAAAGCAACCAGTGCTTTTCACCTCTTTAGTTGTCTTTTGGCTTTGCAAAAGCAAAATCAGGCTGGCAAGCCCAACCAAAGGGGTCTCAGTCGAGCATGAAAGAGCAAGATGCTCAAGAGAAGTGTAAGAGCATCTCCAATAGTTCTTAAAAAATCACTTGGTGAACTAATGAGTTTTTCGAGTGACTAAAAATGTTGCGAGCATATTTGTTGGCTTCCTCCAATAGTTTTCCAAATCTCGCTCCTAAAAGATAGAAGATAATTTTACATCAGGAATTTCGAACTATTTCTGAATCACCCAACCACTTTTATACTTTCTCTCTTATACATTTGTATCAGGAACTGTCGGGGTTATGATACCCTAGATATTTTAAGACACCAATTAGTTAGCTGCTCGAATGGCCCACGATGGCCCAACTAGCAGAGGCCCAGCAATCGTAGCTCGCCTAAGCAACAAAGGCCCCTGGCCAAGTGCCAAGTTAGGAGGTCGACCACGACCTCTCCCTCCTTCCACCGCACGCTACGTAGCACCTCTCGACCTCTCCTTAGTTCCAACCCCTGGGAAGGGATGAGGAGGGATCGAGCCCCATTAGGTACGCCAAGCCTTGACAGGGGAAGGCATGCCCTACTTACTTCGCAAGGACAGCAAGGATAGACGCCAACACTGCGCCACGCTGCACAGACAAGACAACACCACCGAATAGTGACGATCAGTACGGTGACCCACCGTTCAAATACGGCGCAACGAGACGAACGTACGACCCCACTCACTATGGGATGGGGCTCACGACTATGACCTTGACTTTCAGGGCCAATCAAGCCAACAACGGCCATGACCCCAAGGCCCGGGATCAGGGTCACCGGCTCTACGACCAGCAAGATAACCGACGGCATGGGAGTAGCTACCTACTCCTGTACTAATGCCATCGGAAGAGCGGGAGACAATGATGAAGGCCACAGCAAGCTCATGTCGCACAGGACAGCTGGCAAACCACCACCGTACCAACAGTGCCATCATGACCGACACTGTAGCATCACACCACACCATGCTACGACGTGGGCACAAGACCATGACGACAATCATGCCCGGACGTGCGCTGACACCAAGACAAGACGGCCTTCCTTACGAGCCAAGATAGCTAGTTTCCCCTCCCTTAGGCTCACGGCCACTCAGTCGGGAGAACCTATCTCTTTGTATTTAACCTGGCCTCGGACTCTATATAAAGGCAGCCAAGAGCCTCCCTTCCAAGGGGACGGACTCTTGAGACTTCATTCAGGTAGTCCCTCACTACTCTCCTACCTCTTTCTCTCTTCTTGCATACCCCATTGTAAGAACTTTAGAGCATTTAACCGAGGAACACACACTTGAACTATCTCTGAGACTGGACATAGGGCTCTGGCCTGTATAATTCCTTGTGTCTTTGGATGCTACCATCGTCTTCCTAGAGCAGCACGACACACGTATAAATTCACTTGTCAGGTGACAAAATACAGACAGTTGGCGCGACAAGTAGGGGGACAGTCGCACACTCTCCTTGTTGAGAAGGAAGCGATGGCTCCTCGCACCTTTGACAGACTCATCCATGGAACGGCCTCTGGTGGCCGCATCTGCCTTGGGAACCCCGAGTTTGCCAACATCGATGGGCCAGCACCCATGTTCGCCCTCGGCCCCGGTTAGGTCCTACTCCTTGGAGTCCTAGACTCTGTGGTCTACGGTGAACACGCTCGTGGAACAGCCCCTAGTGGCCGCATCTAATAGTCCATCCATATAGGAGGGCCAGTACCCTCCATCGCCTTCGGCCACGGCCAGCTCTTTCGCCCTAAAGACCTACGACCCGTGGCCCACGACAAACTCACCCCTGGAGCGGCCCTTAGTGGTCGCTTCCACCAAGGGGACCTCGAGTTCGCCCAAATCAGTGGGCTGACGCTCGCTTCCAACTCATGTCCCAGTCAGATCACACATCCTAGAAGCCTAGACCCCACAACAGGGCCTCGCCGCGAGCAGTATCCTTATCGCCGGTGGAGCGTGAACACTCAGTGCACCCATGGGCAGCGAGAGAAACCTCCACCCTTGCAGCACCTTAGCGTGCGGTGCCATGGGCTCGCCATGCGTAAGCCTAGCCCCACCACCAATAGACACCACTAGGAATTTGCACTTTCATGACGAATAACTTTCATCACTGAAGAAGCTAAATTCATCATAATTTCAGTTTTATGACGAAAAACAGATCGTCATAGAAAGCACATCATACTTGAACTTCAGTGATGAATCTAGAAATTCATCATAGAAGTAACTTGATCTATGATGAAAAACTTACCATCATAGAACTGTTTTGGCATGCGTGGTAGGGGGCAGCCACGCTAGCGGGTGCTTCCATTGAAGATGCTTTCCACGTATACATGCTATAGTCGGTTGCATTGGAGATGGTTTGGGTCACGTGTCACCTTCTTATTGCACAACGTGGCCCTCTCTTGTCCTTGCACATTTTAGGATCTAATTGGACCACGTGTCGGGTCCCAGTTGTTCCACTTGTCATGTGTTTTATTGGCACACGTGTCACATTTTGGTTGGAGCAGGTGTCACTTCTTCATTGGACCATGTGTCGCATTTTTATTGGTCCATGTGGCGTGACCACAATACCTTGCATGTCTTTCTTTTACTCGATCACATGTCACAATGTTGTACGTTCGCGTGTCAGTATTTTATTGGGCCACGTGTCGTGCCCTGAGCTACCCACACATCTTTTTTTGGATTGGACCATGTGACAGAATGGATTTGTACTACGTATTTGGTTTGTATTGGCCCATGTGTCCTGTCCTGGCACTTACACGTGTCATTCACTGGTTTGTCCATGTGTCAGATTCTTATTTAACGACATGGCCTATGTTGGATCTACCACATGCACACCAATCATTACATCAAAAAATGATTTTAGATCTACACTACTACATAAAATGACTACATGCATAATTATATTTTACCTGGATCAAATAACAGTAGTTCAACTTAGCAGCAAACCACTGACATAGTTCAGATATCAAGCTGCCATAAGTTCATATCAAAACAGCAAACAAACCAAATATTCACTACTTCAACAAGATTGAGAGTTACCGACGCTTAAGAGCATGATATGCTCACAAAGCTTATTGTACTCCTATTGTTGTTTCTTATACTCCTTAAACTCCCTTTCAGTATTTTCTGCCTTCCTCTTTAGTTGATCCATTTATTCGGCGAGGCCAGCTAAACTTTCCTGTTGAGCAGCAAGCCATTCTCGAAGTTTGGAGCAACTTGTCCTTATGCCAGCATTCTTCAAAGAAAAGGTGTTGCTGCTAGCCTGGGAGAGGACCATGGAAACAACATTAGTAACAGGGCCATAGCTTCCTGCGAAAACCAAGGAGTAAACATTAGGTTACAAATTGTGTAAGAGTGCTTAAATTGTAGAACCAAGAGATTATTTCATTACAAGTAATGCAAAGGTCTTCCTTAGCCTACTGTCGACAGAGATTCATAAGCACAATGCATAGGTAACATATTAACTGTTGTAATATTACAACTTCAAAATGATGGTGCCACTTTAGGCTCCTACTACTTTTCCTTCTTTTATGGCAATGGCTTCAGCAGATTTCAAGGAAAGCAA